AGCAGCTCCTGCTTCATCCCTCCCAATCCCAGAGAGCCCAGCCAGGGAGCAGCTGCTTCCCAATCCCAGAGAATCCAACCAGGGAGCAGCTCCTGTCCCATCCCTCCCAATCCCTGATACCCCAGCCCAGGAGCAGCTCCTTCCCAATCCCAGAGAGCCCAGCCAGGGAGCAGCTCCTTCCCAGTCCTTCCCAATCCCCGAGAGCAGCTCCTGCTTCATCCCTCCCAATCCCAGAGATCCCAGCCAGGGAGCAGCTCCTGTCCCATCCCTCCCAATCCCTGAGAATCCAACCAGGGAGCAGCTCCTGCCCTGTCCCTCCCAATCCCTGAGAGCCCAGCCAGGGAGCAGCTCCTTCCCAATCCCAGAGATCCCAACCAGGGAGTAGCTCCTGTCCCAATCCCTCCCAATCCCAGAGAACACAGCCAGGGAGCAGCTCCTGCCCCATCCCTCCCAGTCCCTGACAGCCCAGCCAGGGAGCAGCTCCTTCCCAATCCCAGAGAGCCCAGCCAGGGAGCAGCTCCTGCTTCATCCTTCCCAATCCCTGAGAATCCAACCATGGACCAGCTCCTTCCCAGTCCCTCCCAATCCCAGAGAGCCCAGCCAGGGAGCAGCTGCTGTCCCATCTCTCCCAATCCCTGAGAACCCAGCCAGGGAGCAGTTCCTTCCCAGTCCCAGAGAGCCCAGCCAGGGAGCAGCTCCTTCCCAGTCCTTCCCAATCCCAGAGAGCCCAGCCAGGGAGCAGCTCCTTTCCCATTCCTCCCAATTCCAGAGAATCCAGCCAGGGAGCAGCTCCTGCTTCATCCTTCCCAATCCCTGAGAGCCCAACAAGGGAGCAGCTCCTGCTTCATCCCTCCCAATCCCAGAGAGCCCAGCCAGGGAGCAGCTCCTTTCCCATCCCTCCCAATCCCAGAGAACCTAACCAGGGAGCAGCTCCTTCCCAATCCCTGACAGCCCAGCCAGGGAGCAGCTCCTGTCCCATCCCTCCCAATCCCAGAGAGCCCAGCCAGGGAGCAGCTCCTGCTT